GCATCAAATTAAACAGAGCTCCATACTAAATGCACTGATCAAATAAAGCAACCTTCTCTGAAGAACCCATGAAGCGCTTAAAGTTTGTGTTTGGGATATTTTTGTAACCCTTTGAGCTATGAGTTATAAAATATTCGACATCACCAAACTGTTCCTTTAGGTTGCTGTGCTGATACAGCTATTTATTTGTGCAGAAACTAATGCTGGAAACAGAACATTTTGCTGAAGTAGCTTGTTTTAATGCAAAACTTTGGTGATGCCCACTCTTGCTTCACAGTACAGAATCATTCACTAAACCTGATTAGTGACATCACATTGCTTTTCATACTTCTGTCATCTTATGCTTTAAGTTCGCTTTGATGTTTGTTGGGTATCAGAGGATTGAATCAATGATCTCTCTGTCTCTCTTGTGCTGTTTTATAAAAACACCCAGTGCAGAAAATGAAAATGGCAGTAACAGGGATTTAGAGGTCGTGTCTTAGATCTTGCTGTACTTCTGTTTGGGTAAGGAATAGTGTCCTTTTTAAAACAAATATGAACTCATTGTGAAATTCCCAATAAATATGTCCTTAAAATAATAAGTAGTTATATTGGAGTTTTCCCACTCCTATATTGTCTCTTTGTAAAGTGAGAAACACTGCAGTTGTCAGTGTGGTAAAGTGCACAGAAAAACAGCTCAAAAACCTTTCAGCCTCCATCACCTCTGAATTGCACATAGCTGTAGTAATTGGATTCTTTTGGGTGGAAGTTATTTGCAAGTTAACTGGTTTTCTAGTTTTTGTTGTTACTAGCTTGACTTAATAGAATGATTCTGATAATCAGAAATGTATCTGAAGGGACAGTTTATACTACTGAAGAAAGAAGCAACTTAAATAGTTTTAGGAATGAATAGAAGAATTCAATCATTGGTTCAGTTCTCTGCTATGTATAATGCATGATCAACTGTTCTGTGAATTTGCTGCTCTGAGTGTCTGTAGCCATTACAGCAGTTCTGACTGTTCAACTGTTCTTGATGTTACAGTGGACTAAAGAGGATGGACATAGAACTGCCACCTCTGCTGTCCCTAACCTGTTTGTTCCACTGAACACCAATCCAAAGGAGGTCCAAGAAATGAGGAACAAGGTTTGTAATAGTGAAGTAACTTCTTTTTGCCATCACTAAAATTAAGCTGCGTACCTGTAATGAACTGACTTACTTTCTTTAGTGAAATTTTGGGGGTTCAGTAAAACAGCTCTGATGTTGTCCTACCCCTTTATAACTGAAACAATTCCCAAATGTTCTGAAATCGTCTCAGAAAAAGATGGTATTACTGTCCACTTTGTGAAGACTTCCACTGTCTTATGTTTTGTTACTGTCAGACCAGTTGCTGGATACCTCTGAAACAGCCTGTTCCCTGAGATCATAGTTAACATTAGTGACCTGGTTTACTGTTTTGATTTCACCAGTTGAAATTGTGGCCTAGACAAAGAAATCTATGGATATTTCTCCATATTATATTTTGTTACATTATAATATGCTGTGATTGTTGCAGAAATTGTGGGGCCTTTGGAACTGCATGTTAATCTTTTTGAAATCAGCTAGGAGTTAATTTTCCAGTCTTTAAATTTTAGATCTTCTTGTCACCAGCCTATCAACAGGAAAGCATTGAATCCATTGGGTGTTGTTCACTTTATTTCTTTTTAAGTATAAGATGTGCACTGGCATCTTGTTAATACTTAACTTGTTCTGGATTGTTTTGCTACTTCTTACTGATGGCCATATGGAATATGGGAGTTAGCATTATATCACAGGAAAGTCTATACAGGGGTACCAACAGGAATACTGATTTGTTCTAAAATAATTTCTATAAGGTTGACAGAGCTTTTGCTTTTCCTGGTTTGGCACTGTCAAATAATAATCACTTAAAATGAGAATTCAAGTGAAATTGCCAAGCAGCTTCTTGGTGTTGGAAACACAAATTGTTTTGTTAAAAACTTGAATGAAGCGACTGAGAGAAGTAAAACTTTTTACTTTCCTGATGATGAGAGGGGTAGTAAGCTAGAAACAGGTACAGATGATGCAGGATCTTCATACTTTTCTGAAATACCAAGTATTAGTAATACCTTGTGTTTTCATACTTGTATGCATGTATTTTTATATTAATTGCATGTCATTTTTAGTTGTAGAGGCCTTTCCAATTGCATGCTTTCCTTCATTTATCTGGGAACCAGAGTATTTTAGAAATCAATTTTGAGTCAGCTGTTATGAATTGTTTATCACTGTAAGGTATCTAATTTAAACAGACAATACCTAGGTTTAAAGATCTGGTTTCTGTTCCCATTTTCTGTATGGAAAGAACTGGGAGGTATTCAGGGTGCAACAAAAGGGATGTGTTTGATTACTCCAGTTTCAGTTTATGCATAGAAGAGTATTTATATGCCCTTTTATGAATGTGGTCTTGACTAGATGGAGAAGTTGACTGTTGTTCTGTGTTTTACAGTAAGTTCTGCAGGAAGATGATGTTGTGGTGCAGTATCAGTGACTAGTGGCTAGTGACAGAAAACTGTAAATGACTGGTCAGGTGCAATAAACGTGTATAAATATGACCTCTGTGCTTCTCTCCTCACTTTTCTTCATAAACTGTTACCTGATCTGTAGAGTTTTACCATGAGCCAGTACTAAAAAGCAAAGGGCCATACCTGCTGTGGTACTTAAAGACTAAATTCTGATGAATGTGAGGAAACAGGTAGGAACTGAAGCACGTCTTCAAGTGCTTATAGGCACCGCTTTATTTGTTGGATAGGGCCATAGCAATCAACACTAGTTGCAGCCTGTTGACAGGTTCACCCACCCCCTTTTCAAATACAAAAATGTGCTTAACTTTTCTCTGTTATTCATGTGACTGTGTTCTGCTGCTTTCCTTTACAGATCCGAGAGCAAAACTTACAAGATATTAAAACTGCAGGCCCTCAGTCCCAGGTTCTTTCTGGGGTAGTTGTGGACAGAAGTCTTGTACAGGTGAGAGTATAAAACGCCTGAAACTATTAGCTTAAACTTAATCCATTATATCCTCTGCTTTCACCTAATATATCACTATGAAATTATTCTTTAATTGGCAGAGAGTTTCTGTTTTTAAGGTAAGTCTTAGAGGTAACACCATTGTCTTTGCGAGAGTGCTCAGGGTCAGAAATTTAAGAGGCTTCAGCCATGTAGCCCAAGCATGTCTGTGGAGGATGCTTCTTGGGGTTTTTTTTGCTGAATGTAATGCATGAAATTCAGAAGGCTTATTTCTATGGATTAGATTCTTGTTCAAACTTGTTGGGCTTTGTGGCAACTTTCTGTTTGTTTGTTTTCTGAGTTCATGTATCTTGAAGTACTAATAATACTGGGCACAGCAGGCTCACTATGGGGCAGTAGTGTTGTGTGTTAAGTATGTTTTATCATGCTTCATAATGTTTTATTTGAAGAGCAGTTTGGAAAAAAAAAGCTATTATACATCACTGAAACTTAAAAGCAGTATATCTGGATATACAAAAGACTTTATCTATGAATTGTAGCTCAAAGTAAGAATTAGAGCTATACAGTTATACTGTATAGCTGTAGCTCTATGTATCTGAGTGCTTTAACTGCCTCAGATAAGTATTTTCTGATATACTTTAAAAAGTTTGGCAAGTCTTATCATGACCATAGCATTATTCATGTTTGGTGTCATATTGTGTGCATGTCAATCCATTGTCACTTGCAATTTCATCTGCCAGTTACCGTTTCTTTGCATGTTTTTAGCAAGCATCATAATGGTTTTGGTTGATGTTTTAAAGCCTGGGCTCGGTTTGCTCTGTTTACTCAATTTACTGTTGCAGGATGCTCCCCTCTCAGACTGTACGGAATCTATTGAAGGGCTCGATCTCACAGAGCAGGCCTTTAGTCCCGCTAAATCTCTGTCTGTTAGAAAGGTACTGCCCTGTCATACTGCTCTAAATGCTGTTGTTCACCCTTCATTTTACCTCTTCCTCACCCTGACCTTTTCCCTATTAGTTAATGATTTGGCTAGAAAAGAAAAAAAAAAATAGATGACTCTCCAGATTCTGTATGTGCAACTATACCAGCAGGTACCTTACCCTGTTAAAGTATCTTTTAAGGATTTTGATCTTTTTCTTTCTCTGTAGAAGCTGGTAAGGAAACACTTAAGGTGCTGATTAGGTTTCTTTGCACGTGCTGGTAGTGTTGAATTACTCTAATCTGAGATCAATGTTGAGTTAATCTCAGCCTGATTACATCAGTGTCATTCCAAAGATACCACACTTACAGAGCGTGCCATGCTGACGAACGCTGTCAACTTTGATCCTGCATTGCTAGACGTCTTGTTTCCTTAAACCTTCTTGCTGTTACCTATAAGAATTGCTGAGGAATGCCCTGCACTTCCAGAATCGATTGGCTTTCAGACATGGAATCTTGCTTGTGCTTATGTAATACATTTTAAATACAGGATGAATTCAAAAGAGGCGTGTATGGTTGGGGTGGGCAGTTCTTTGAGGCCAACTGAACTGGAACAATTTGCACATTGGAAACAAAGTGTCCTTAGCTGTCTTTCTCTCCCAGGTATGGAAGGAGTTTCATAGAGGTGATGTAACACTGAAGCACAGTGTGCAAATAAGCATCAGTGTCTCTTCTGCTCCAGTATTTTATCTAAAAGATTTTAAAATCTTGGTTTAAGCCATGCCTAATGTCTCATTATCATAATATATGCGGTATCAGAACCAGCCAGCCAAACAACCCTCCTCTCCCCAAAAAAAAAACCCCAAACAAGCAAACCCAACAGACAAAACCACAAAAAACTCAACAAACCAAATAACAACAAATGAACCCACCAGAGAAATGTCTTAGAAAGATTATGCCAAAAGTCAGTTGTGTATTGTGGAACAAAGGAAGTATAAGCAATCTTAGGATGCCCACATAAACCTCACTGGAAACTTTGAATGAAGCTTTGAGGAGACCTGTACATCAAGGACTTACAGACTTCTAGGTACCAGATAATTACAAGTTCTCAGCTGACAAATGCTTTGACACTCAATTACAGTTAAAGTAAAAAGTTCCATCTGATTGCAGTAATGCTTCAAATGTATTGTTTTCAGTTAACATAACGCACACTATTTGGGCTGAAAACAATTCTGTTTGTGTAAAGTATGCATGTAATGCTTTGAGTCTTCTGTGCCTATGGCTGCAGTAGTAAATACTCCATTTTGCCTTGTCACTTGCTTTGTCCATGTTCTGAGAAGTCCTAGCCATAGCCATGTTGCAATACAAGCTCTTTGTGCACCGTGTGATTTTATTTGTGTTACAGACTTGGTTAACCAAGCTTCTGCTTCAGTCTTGGCTGAATGAGAGGGGATGTTGGTTATTCTTCCTAATGACCATTCTGCAATCTCATTAAAAGAAAAAAAATCACATGAATTTTCAAGAATTTAAAGGAAAAGGGGAATCACCTGTTTCATGTCTCTTCCTTTGGAATGGAAATTCTGTGGCTTTGTTCTTCGTGAGGAGCCTCTCAGTTCTGCCCCAGAGGTGGCACTGTGTTTTAATGGCAACTTCTACACGAACAGTACTTGAAGAACTTTGGGTTTTTTGGACAAAGGCACTGGTTTAATGCCAGATTGTGATAAGAGTGTTTGTTAACTTTAGACAACTATTATGAACCTAATGTGTGAAAGAAAACTTGGCATGTATAAGGTGACAGTTTTGCTCATCTGTCCCTGAGAACAAGATAAAGTGCGTGCCTGTTAAATGATGGTCACTTCACAGCAGTTCTGAATTTTCTCTGAAAGCAAAATTGGGTGGAAAAGTTACAAAATGACTTGAAAATCTAAAATTTCTTGTAGGATATGTGAGGTCCAAGTTTAGTATGAAAGTCTGTTGTGCATCATTAGCTACAAGCGACTTTCCCTTTGCTGGAACTTTGTGGTAGAATATGCCCCTAGAAAATTCTCAGGAGTGAAAATATATTCTGTTTGTGAATGTAATCTATCCATTATTTTTCACAGTGGAGAAGATACTGTTGATATTCAGGTGCTTACACATGCAATCAAACTTCAAATAGTCATCAAAATAGTAGTAGAATCATCATCAAAATAAAGCCGCTATCAGCATAATCGAGTTGAAATCGCTAGAACATTCGTTTTTTGCATGTCATCCTGTGTTGAAACAGAGTGCCAGCCTTTGATATGGGAGTTTATTTCCTCCTGCAGGCTCTGTAATACTGGAAACATCTCCAGACCAATTTTCTTACTCAGTTTTTCTGAGGGTTCATAGGAATCTCTGATGGCATGGACAGGTTGATAGCTCTGCAAAGTTTTGTCTATTTTAGTGTCACATTTAACAACCTGAAGTATGTCCTGTACTGTCTTTGTAGTCCTTTATACTCATTTTCCTTCTGTCCCTTCATTTGGTGGTGTATATTTTTATTTGAATACTTGGAAGGCTGCTCCAGTGCCTATTCTGTGAAGTAATGCATCTCTGCTTCTTTGATTTATATATGTTTTAGAGTACTTACGTTGCAGAATTTACTAACATAACTGCATAGTTTTTGTCCCCACAGAATCAGTCCTTCTACCCTTAGAAATTTTGAGTGGCCTTTGAACCATATTATTGATACTGAGCAAAATTGGATGTCTTAATCTGGAAAGAGCAGATCAAAAGTTTGCCTTTCTGGTCTCTTGTTTAATTTTTCTGCTCTTAAGGTCCAAAAAACACAAGTGCTTTTTCTTTGTAATATATAATCCACTTACTCCTGTTGCCTCTGATCTTTTTCAATATTAATTCTCTTGGGTCAAAGATACTCAGCTAGTACAAATACTGTTTGGATTGCCTGTGAGTGTGGCTTTTCTGTGTCTATGGGTTTGGTTTGTTGGTTTTGTTTCATTTTGTAAATGCGATAAGCTTGATGCGCTGCTTTTATTCTGAGTAGTTAACAAAGGTGCTTGTAAGGAGGAGAACACATAATGCCAGTGCACTGGTCATCTTTCTGCCAACTCTGTGTCTTGCTCTTTGTTGTTATTAATCAATAGGTATTGAGTAAAATCTTGTTTCAAGTGAGAGTTGTTCTACCCAGTCATTCTGGATTTAACTTGTAGATAAGTTAGATTCTTAAACATTCCAGGGGTACCAGTGTGCACTGTGTGTCTTGTTCCTCTTTTGGCCTTTGTAATCCTAGAAAAGTCTAGAAACTCGGCCTGAGTTCAGTGCTCTACAAACCCCTCCTACGTACTGCTGTGTTTCAGTTAAAATTCCACATTTAGTTTGAAGGGTGGGCAGAGATAGAGAGGGAAATACAGAGTTGCTGCGGGCACCAATTTTCTGCTGCCATTAAAAGCTGGGACCTGTAGTTTTGGGGATGTTTACATTTTCTACAAAATAATTAGGATCCGTATGAAGGTTGATGGTTTTGTGATTTGTTTTCAATACACTATCCTGCAAGAAAAGCCACAACAATCAAGCTGGTGCTTGATGGACATAGCTAAGAAAAGGCTTTTCACTTTCTTCTGGCATTCTGCATCTGAGATGAGCTCCTCTAATTTTATGGATAAACAGAGCTGATCTGTAATTGTTTAGAGATGTTTCTCTCCTGCAGTTCCTTTGAGGATCATACAGTGAGGCTTGTTGGTGTACTGTTTGTTCTTTAGTACTTCTGGCTGGTATTTGCTTCCTGGAGAGCAGCATAGATTCTACCAACCGGCTGTTCTTACCTTCCTGCATTGCTCTAGACCACCTTTCTGGAGATGAGGGGCTTTCAGAAATACCTTAACTGCTCTTGTCCTCATTCCATCTGGACATTCTGGTCTGTCACCTTGTTGGTGCTGACAAGACGTCCAAAGCAGCTCTTAGCATCCAAAACGGTGCTCTGTCTAATTTCATCTTCAGTTTTACAGTGAAGATCTCATGCCTGTTCATCAAGTATGAATGTGGAATTGAATGTTTGTCCCCTTGTTCAGGTGCTGTTTATTTTTGAACTTTCTAATGCTTTCTTTTCAATATTGGAACAAAAAACATTTGAATATGAAGATGATGTGGGCTAATCAGTTCCCCATACCTATGTGGTAATGGAATTCAAATACCTCTTTTCAACAAGGAAGGCAACTCAGATGTCACAATGACATGAAGCACAGGTCACACATCAGTCATTTCCAAACTAGTGTCAGTAGAGTTCTGTATATCTAATGAAGAATCAAATGCTTAAACAAGTCACTCGAAAGACACAGCTTTACTATATGGCTTTAGTCTTTACCATATGATTGGAGAAGAAAAACGAAAAACTGTAGCATTAGAAAATCTCTGATGCAGCAGCTTTTGTCCATTGGAACTTAGTGAACTTAGAATTGCTAATGTTTGTATACCTTTTTGTCTGGCTTGTGTGACAAATGTTATAGATGTAAATATCTAACTTGTATAAGATGGCAGTTAACCTTTGCTACTTAAAAATTGCTTGTAATAAACTATTAATCCTGATGTATGCAGAACACACACAGGATGGCTTTTTACTATAACATCTGTTAGATGTTATGCAGTAGCTACTAGAAATGGCTTTTCCCTTACTAAAAAAACCCCAAAACAAACAAAAAAGCCCCCTGAAACAAACAAAAACCTGAAACAAACCACAGAAGTACCTGTGAGCTGAGTCCTGTGAACTTCTACAGGTATTCTGTGCCCAGACTGCCAGGCATTTGGGCCTGGTATCCCATTTCTTTTGTGGGAAGAAAAAGAAACTTCATACTTGCGTGACTTGAGGCACAATTCAGCTAGACTGTTGGGCTGCTGTTTGATTTACTGCTTAATGGTGGATATTCCCTGGTGGAAACACTGATGTGTCTGTAAGAGTAATTAACAAGACCTGTTTTCTCCTTTATATTGACCTGCTGTCAATTAACGTATTTGTTTTAAAATCTGCAGTAGTTTTGATTTTTTTTATTTTTTTTTTTTTATTTAAAAGAAAATAAATGTAGCATTTTTCAGTTTATCGTTTTGTTTTGTTTCCGATTGCTTTGTAGCCTCTGTACTTCTCAGGGTTCTGCAAGTTACTGCTCAATTGCAGATGTATCTTAATTGTCTTTTGTCAGGGAGAACTGGTGACTGCGTCAAAGGCAATAATCGAGAAGGAGTATCAACCCAAAGTCATAGTGAGCACAACAGGACCAAATCCCTTCAATAAACTCACTGATCGAGAACTGGAAGAGTATCGCAAAGAAGTAGAAAGAAAGCAGAAGGGCCCAGAAGGTTGGTTTCTCTGTGTGCGTTTGTTCTGCAACAGACTATAAGAACAGCAAGTTTATTGGAATGTGGGTTACCTGCAGAGACCATGGATCAAGTATTCAGCTTTGGTGTGTTTCAGTTTTTCCAGCGTGACTTAAAAATTTAAAGGCATGTTGGAGATAGAATGTGCAATCTGGGTGTTAATGGAGCATTCTGTAAAGCGCATAGATCTTCTTTTAAAAATTACACTAGCAGACAAACTGGGGTGTTCAGGATGGCCAGGTTCTGCAGTCAGAAAAGTTCTTAGGTACTGCAGATTGTTGCAGACTGTTCACTTTGTTTCCCTTAGCAGTAGAGATAGTCCAGGGTGATAGAATAGTGTTGCTTTTCAGAAGCAAAACTGCAGTTTTCTACCCCATTGAAAATTGTGGATTTGAGAAATCTGTTGAATGGGGAAGGTACAGAACCATGTTTGAAGGCTACTTGGAAATGACACATATCCTCCAAAACAGATTCTGTAAATTATTGTAGACTTATGAGAGATGATTGCTGCATCTAAAGTGGTTCTCCTGCTTTACTTCTCTATAATGTTAAAGGATGATACTCAGATGCTCGTCTGTTGTTAGGTTTTGAATTTGAGCAATGCAGGAGCCAGAAGTGCCTTTTCTCTTGCAGTATGTCCTCCTGGCTTCTGCCTTTTGTTAAGATGATGTAGGAGCCATTGTAGATCGTATGTGTTCAGTTAATCAAGTATTGGACTGTGTGGGGTGGGATATTCTGCTGTTGTGCCTGTGTAGTTGCAGTGTTTATTCTCTCAGTAACGTTGCCACATGCTTCTTAGATACCCTAATACGTAGAGACTGTGTTACTGAGACAGACACCACCTGAGGAACAGAGCACATAGCTTAGAAATCAGACCATCAGGGAGCAAAATAGATCAGATAAAAAAAATCTCTGTATTTGAAAGGGAGATCAGAAACCTGTCAAGGAACAGATACAAAGACTTTACAGGATCGTGACGTATCATCACTGTCTAAATCCTTAGATAACACTCAGTTTGCTGCTGCACGGGTTTCTTGTCAGACCACGCAGCAAGTCATCACACATCTTAACCGAGAAGAGACAGATGGGCAGAAGTCCTCCCATAAGGAATTTCATACTGCAGTGATCAAAGCACTAAGGTCGAATCCTGACCTTTTGGCTGAGGCCTCAGGTATTATTAATATGGTACAGTTGTGCTTGCAATCTAAGGAACGACCTCTTTAGCTACACCATTTGGAGATTCTATCAGTTGACTCTCATCTGTGGGGCTGATTTCACTTTTAATTGTGTAGCTGAACTGTACAGAAGAAATGTTTTAATACTGTTCCTGATACATGGTGTACTCTGTTAATGTTTAAACCTGGAAGCAAGGGGGACCCTCCTTACTAATTACAAACACATAAACCGCTGTGAAATCTGTTTTGAATCATTTAATTACTGCATGTTTTGCTGATTATCTGTGCAGTCTTCTCTTCTTTGGGAATGCAAATTTGTTTACGCAGAGTTTCAGCAATGCAAAGCAAGCAAAAGAGCCTTATCTTGTGTGGGTCTGAAAGCATTTTTCCTCCCACCCCCCATTTGTTTCTATCTTCCTTGTGGTTTTTCCTCACAAGTTTTCTTTAGAGCAGCATGATAAACCAATTCATAAACTATTACATTGTTCATGCCCTTTTGGAAAAACAAAAACCACCACAGAGCACAGCTGTGGCTTGAACAGTTCTGTTGATATCAAACTATCACTTAGTTTTCTTTTGCTTGCTTTGGTATTATTTCATATCCTGGCAGGATTTTGATTCAGGAAAATGTATTCAAATCTTGTGCACATGGAGCACAAAGAGACTTTTGTTTTCTCACATGCTGAAACGTTTTCTCTGCCTTTCTACATCTGCAGAACCTTCAGAAGATGGCAGGCCACAGAAAGAGAGAAGTCCCCCTGATCTCACTTCAGCTCGCACTCCTCCCAGCACGCCGATTAAAATAGAGGAAGGTATGTTCTTCTCATTTGGGGGCCAGGGAAACCCAGTAACTGCATCACTAGTGACTGACGCATGAAAATATATGAACTAGTAGCTAACAAAGGTAAATTTTGTCTTGTACTTTATTTTTATACTACCTAAAATATACTCCACTAAACTGTGAGTGTACTAGGAGTTCTGTTTACAATAATAAAGAAGTGTGCATTAATATAAAGACAAATTTTCATCTCTTCAGAATTGCCTCGTCATCGCTTGGTGTTTCTCAATTGATTTACCCTTTTGTGCATTTTCTGTGAGAAATGGTGGCTCTTAAGAAATGAAATGGTGTCTGATGGTGAACCAGACACAAATTTGGATGCTTTGGTAAATCTCCTTCGCTGATTGCACATTTCTTAAACATTATTGTACTTGGATTACACCTCAGTAAATACTTTGTAACTCAATTTGACTCTAAACATCATTATTTGCTCACCTTATGTAGTAGTTTTAACTAAAATGAGAGCAGGGCTGGTAAAGTCCACAATTTCCTTAAAAAGAGGATAAAATAACAATCCTGAAGAGGTGTAATCTAATTTTCGTCTTGTTTCCTTTACCTCGTTCATTGGATATATCACTTGTCTGTTAGTCTTCCATTCACTACTTCATCTCATCCTGTTTTCTATAAGAATGGTTGCAACCATTCTTCTAACTTAACACAATGGCTGTGATGAATGCATAGATTCTCTACTTGTGCTTTTTTCTTCTTGTGGCTGCGTTACAAACAGGAGATGGATATGCTAAAGAGTACCTGTTACCATAGTAAGTATCATTCCATACTCTGACCTGCTTATGTGCTTTGCTTCACTCCTGCATCTTTGTTTACTAAGGGGTTGTTTGTTGGTTTTGCTTTTTTTATTTAAGCAGGCTCTTTCAGTTGAGACCCTGATTTCTTTAGTTGCTGATTTCATGAAATTCTAGGTAGTTACAGATCTTACATGAAAATGCACTCCCCCTTCGAGACACTGGAAGTGACATTATGTGTTTCCATATCTGTGTGTCCCGTTCCTCAGTTTAAAAAGGAGTAGTCTGAAGTTGTCTTCCAGATACAGCTGAAACAGGTCTGGGAGTTTCTGCCCCAGCAGTTTGCTTCTGCCTGTACAACCTGATATGGACCTGGTAATAACATGGAAGAAAGTTCCTCATCTATTCCAGTGCAGAAGTGTTACCACTGGCATTGTCTGAAATTTACCCAGCAGACTTCTGCACAGAGTGGATATGGAACT